AAAATCCCCCCCCCCCCCCCCCATTACATATTTCCTTAAAAGGAGAGACCCTGTAGAATGAAATGGTGGCAGTTGCAATTTTTTAATGTTGCATGATTTTTGCGTAACTGTTCATCAAACCCAAATTTTCAGTAGCAAAATAAACTTAAAAAGGAGAACTATGGGGCCACATTTATTTTCCAGTTCTCCTCGCGGTCACGGGAGGACATATACTGTGTCCTATGCCCGCCCCCTCCCCTATCAGTTTCTCCAGTCAGTGCTTACTTAGTCACCGATCTCTGCACGGAGATGATCGGGAAGCATGTGGATTGGTGGTATAGTTTCAATGTCACACGTCGACTAACTGTGGGGATGATTGTAATTCACTCACCACATAGTTCTACTTTAAGTTAATTTTAGTGCCTGTAAACACATTACCCAATTTTTGTTAAAACATAAAGCAGCCCATTGAAGCTGATCAAGCAAACACTGTGCTTCATCAGCTTCTTCCCCAGCTAATGACAGCTCAGAAACAGTTAATTCATTGGGGAGGAGATCAGGGAACAGATGTTCACTGGTCTCCCTCCCCCCTTTCAGCTGACACCCAGGATGCCAATCTTGGGCCTGCAGGAGGGGTAGTGGAGCCTGGGAAACAGGGTGGGGGGTGTTGGATCAGATGCATGTTTGCATTAGTATGTGCGTGTATGTGGGGGCCTTATACAGGGTGTTTTTACATTTATCTTAGTTACCTTTTTAAAACATTCTTCTTGCTTAACTTTTAGGTTCCCTCTATGTTAGTGGTCCTCAACCTGTGGGTCGCTGTGTGCCTTCTGCTGCGCTAGGCTCCTCAGCCTCCTCCTAGCGCAGTAGTGCAAGTCCTCCCAAAGGCCACCAGATGTCGCTGAAGCAGCCAGGGAGGAGCTGACAGCAGGCAAGTGTTTTTTTCTATATTTAGCCCTGCTTCGGGCAAGCAGGGCAAAATGTACAGAGGGGGAGCCGGTCAAGTGATTTCGGCGGCTGTACATGTCCCGCCGCCTGGCTTCTTGATAATCGGGGCACACAGAACCGGTATCAGCAGGTACTGAAAAAAAAAATATTGATACCGAAAAACCCGTATCGGTGAAATAATAATTTTACCGATAGGGGTCAGCACAACTTGCAAATGTTACCAAGGGGTCCCTGCAAAGGTTACGAAACACTGCTCTATGTGATGTCTCTTTAAAGAGAACCTGTCACCATTAACATGCTATTAGGGGTCTATTAGACTCCTAATGTCCCCCTTGCAGCCAATTGAAGCTGTTCAAGCACACACCATGCTTGATTAGCTTCTTCCCCGACCAATGACAGCTCAGAAACCTGAAGTGATAAAATTATTACTTCCAGGTTCATTCAGATGTTCGTTGGTCTCCCTACCCTCTTTCAGCTGACACCCATGATGCCGGTCCTGGGCTTGCAGGAGGGGCAAAAGGAGCCCAGGAAACATGGCAGGTGGTGCCACATTCAGAGCCCTTGGAAGTGATAATTCCTTTTCACAAAATACAGATTTCCTGTTTTGTTTTACCACTTTTGCAACCCAGTGCTGTTGATCTCCTAAAGTCTTTTTCAGTCACTTCCTGTCTACATGTTTGCATTCTAAAGATGGCATTTCCCAGGCCCTTCCCTCCCCACACACCCACTTTACCTCCTTGCCCTCCTACCTCCCCCTTCTCTCATAATTGGACATTTATTCCCCCCTCATACCTTTTTTCCTTGGGACACTCCCAGGATTCTCACCTAGGTGACAATTACATTCCTTTCACCCACAGCCTCCTGGGATACTGACATCACACATCCCAGGGGGCCTTGGGGTTCTCTACAGTGCATGCCACATTGCATATCATGAGCGGCAGCAGTTTCTTCCAGCCAGCCCCCTGATCACACAAAGCAGCACATGCATACTGTGAGTATGTAATATCAGAATAACAAAGCGGTAACAAAGTAAGTGGGGATTTAAGAAAAAGAAATAACACTTGGTAGGGGAAGATTCCTCCTTAAAAGGAGAACTATGAGGCAAGTGAAAATCACTCAGCCTCATAGTTCTAGCTGGCCTGTGACAATCAAAATGTCACACGTCGGCTCAATAGATTGGGAAGTGAACACACAGCGTCGCTCGCTCACTTCTCGACCTGCAGAGATCCCCCCCGATCCTCCAGCGCTGACTGGCGGAACGGACGGGGGAGGAGGCGGGCACAGCAGGCTCTAACTCTAGATAGGCAGAGCCAGCTGTCAATCCCGCAGCTGGGTGGATCGCAACAATAATGTCGGGATCCGTCCCGGCTGCTCAGTATACCGCGAGCTTTAGCTCGCGGTATACTGAGCTTAGGGTGACGGGAGGACGCTAGTTTGTGTCCTCCCGTTACCCTTAGGAGAACTATGGGGAAAAGCCCTGACCCCATAGTTCTCCTTTAATGAAAGAGACCGCTTTAAAATGATTGAAATTCACTTTTGAAACTATATTAACATGTTAAAAATGATATGAGATTTTAGTGGTTGTTTTTACATACACTTTGAGACCCTATTCACACTTGTGATTGGGGCAGTCTCGGGAATTGTCCAGAGAGACTCACACAAACAGCTGAGGGTTGGAAGCACTACTATACAAAGCAAGGACAGCTGATGGTGCCTGCAGCCATTCAAATGTAAACGGACATGCCACTCATGTTTATATTTAGGCACTATTCACACTTGTGATTGGGGCCCATCTTACAAAATTGTCCTTATTAGACTCATGTGGACTGCTGCAGTTTACATCTAGGGTGATCATCCGCAGGCAAATCACAACATGTCAAATTACATGTGAATGACTGCGGGGGCTGTCAGCTGTTCGCATGAGTCTCATGGGGCAATTCCTGAGACTGCCCCAATCACAAGTGTGAATGGGGCCTAAAGCCGGGTATACAAATCAAATTTCGGCCTACTGAAACGGCTGAAATTTGCTGCGCGAGTACCGCTGTCAGCACCCTTCTGCCCAGCATCTATTGATCAGAGGTTGGAACTCTTGGATGAATGGCGTCATCAGCCAATCATCTGCTAGCTCCATTTGGGTATTCCACAGGTCGCTGTCAGAATACCTGAGAGCGATCTGTTATAATCTCTGTGTTCAGCAATAAGGTTGAACAAAGAAAATATATACCCGCATACCCGACTTAACTGTAAACATAAACACAAATAGTAATATGGGGCAAATTACTAAAAAGTTCAGCAAATCAAAAATATATTTTTCTGCTCTTTGTAAAAGGACCTCACTGGTCACACGGGTAATGAGAACAAGTGGAAGAAGAAATTGATAGGAAAGCTCTGCGGCAACTTTCACGCCCTGCCTTTCTGACTGTACACCAGCACACTCCCATGAAAACTTCCGAATGTAGAACCGGTGCTGCAGCTCTCACTTCCGGGTTATCAGCCAATCACCTGGAGACACAACACAGCACTCGAGCGAGCCGGAACGTGGTTGGAAGGATGTGGGGGAATGCCCGCAATGCAAATCGAGCGAGCCGGGCGTTACGGTGCAGCCACTAGAGCCCCACACAGGCCTGGCTATCGTGCATGTAATGTAGGGCTACTGCCGGCATCCCCCGGCGACTCGAACACAGGAAATGTCAGCTCTAGTTTGCACTCACATGAATTTCAGTTGGAACCGCAGAGTGCATGCTAGTATAAACGGTCGAGCACCAACATTAATGTTACCGACGAGTGCTACACTAAGTCCATACAATCTAAATACAAAACATCATATAATCAGAGCAGCACAGGCACAATACACAACCGCTGAAACCTAGGAGAATGTATCGCTCGAATTGAATCCAGCATCCTGACCCCCCCAGTCAGGGGGAAGTATAGCACTTACAAGCAGAACTAGGACACAGGCCGGGTCGGTCAGTGGCAGGAGGATAGCGTGCTTCATGGTCAGCATGCCTAGCTGCGGCTCTTCTTACACCTCACACCATAGAGCTCCCCGGAATAGCACTTCGCTAACACGATCAGTTCCTAAACCAGTACTAGGATCTTGATGACGTCGTGGTCACATGACTGGACCCAGCAGTGACATCACCGTGACATATGACCGCCCAGTTGGAAGAGCGGAAGGACGGTTGGGGGGGGATGGAGTCTGATTCTGTAGCGTGCAGATATTCTGACTAAAGTCCGGTTGCAATTCAGCTGCACAGCAGAGTTTCTCTGCTTATGAAGTTTGTCAGCGTGCTGCCTCGGCATTTTTAGCTATTTTGACTGTGTTTATTAACTACTTGAAGACCGGGATGTTACACCCCCTTCCTGTCCAGGCCAATTTTCAGTATTCAGCGCTGTTGTACTTTTGACTGACACTCAGTCATGCAATGCCGTATCGAAATGAATTTTATGTAATTTTTTGGGGGGACACATAGAGCTTTCTTTTGGTGGTATTTAATCACCATTGGTTTTGTTAAATTTTTTTTTACTATATTGAGGAAACATTACCGAAATTTTTTGGGAAAAAAAACTGTTTTGCCTATGCTAAGCTATGAAACATTGCACATAAATAATCTTCCTTCAGAAATGTATTCTGCTACATTTCTTTGGTAAAAAATTGACAACTTTGTGTAGAGAAAAATTTATTTTTTTCTACACAACGTCAATTCAGAAGATATATCTAACCCACAGCATCCTTGGAATTTCACTTCAAAACACATGATCATTTTATATCTTGTCCTGGACATGGTTGCAGAATATAAGGGCATGTGATGGAATGGGTGTGTAGACCAGTATGCATTAAAGTGACATTAAAGTCAAAATTGTTTTTCCATCCCCCCAATGTTAATGTCAGCACTTACCTTTAATGATGTTTCTTAAGGTGGCCATACACTTTAATCCGATCTACTTTTTTCCTGTTCTTTTAATCTGTCCCTCCAGCGCTGCGGCGAGTCTCTGATCCAGCGCTGACTCCTCTGAACATGCTGGCACTTCCTCTCCCATGGTGTCTGCATGCGGGTGCACGCGTCCATAGACTTACCTTGTGTCTCTCCTCGCATCCCGGCCAAAAATGTGATCTGCGCATGCGCCCGCCCCAAGATGCTTTACGGCCGCCCGAGAATTTTCACATTTTTGAACGGGAGCGTGCGGGGAAGACGCAGGTAAGTATTAACCCTTTGTACTTTTTGCATATATCTACTGCTTACCAGCAGTAGATATGTGCAAAAACACCTGAGGCTTTAATTATCCTTTGATTTAATTTTTTTTGGGTGAGTCCCATATTGCATGTCAGCTGGCTGTTGAACAGCACGCCAGGTTCTTTTAGCTGGGACAACTTCTTCCTCTGAATTAGAGGTGGATCCTGAACCACTGTTTTCAATAGGTTCATACTTTAATCCAGAATCTGACAGGGAGGCCTCTCCGTCACTCTCACCAGGCATACTGAGAATTTGAAATGCCTACTCGCTGCTGTACATTTTTTTTCTTCACATTTTTTGTAGTGGGTATACTTGGGGGCTCTGGATGACACTGGTATTTGGATGTGCTGCACCAGTACCTGATGGCACTGTTTTTTTAGGATGACAATCAGAGATGCTGATTAGTGCTGACAAGTTATTTGAGCGTCACACACTGATTGGTGCTAATAGGCTGGCACTGTGGTGGATACGGTTGTGTACTGCTGGCACTAGTGATGCTGAATGCTAATGATTTGTGCGGCAAATGTGGCACTGATGACACTGTGAATCACAATAATGGCACTGAAAATACTGTAATCGCACTGACTGAGACTGTGAAATGCTCCGACACTGTGGATCACACTGATGCCACTGTGAAATCACACTGATGACACTGCGGATCACACTGAACACTGTGAATTGCACTGTATCTGTAGCAGAGTGTACTCTTTTGCTGTGTATATTGCTTTAAATCTTACTGTGGATGATCACTGTGAAGCTCTCAATCTCTCTAACATCCGAACCGTGTGTGAGACAGGAGATCGAGACAAGGCTGCAAACTGCAGCCATTGTTTACTTTTTTGACAGCTGTGATTTGTCACAGCAGAGCGCAGGGTATAGAGCCGATTTAACTGGCTCTATACCTTATTATGTATACAGCACTGCCCAATGGAGGGGGGGGGGGAGAGTTCCCTTGCAGAGGGCCTTCCCATGCACTGTGAGGGTTAAGTGCACATTTTAGGGGACAGGAGTGAAGCAGATTTACTGACCTGATACCCACTACTGCAGGCTCCCTCTGGGCTGCTAGACCTGTCCCAGCAGCCTCTTCTCCCCTTCCTTCCATTGACCTGCATTTGATATGAGGACGCCCAAGGGACATTCCACAAGCCGGAGGAGAGCATTTTGTTTAGTTCTACTTAAAAGGGTTAGTTCACCTTTATGTACATTTACAAGAATTTCCCATGCATGCCAGCATCCTCATCAGATTTCAAACCACTGTACAGATTTTTTTTTATAAATGCTCCTTTTGCATCTTATACTTACAGGCCATGCGTGGCCTGACCACAAAAACTCCTTCATAGGCGCCCTCTCCTTCTTCTGCCTGAATTGCAGGACATGCCGGATGATAGACGCGCACCCCCAACATGCTGTGGCTTGTTCAAACGCTGTGCATGCAGAGTGTGCTCTCTCCCCTCTGCAGCAGCAGCAGCTGATCTCAGCTGACCAGGCTAAATGAAGTGCACTTGACAGCATGGTCAAACTCTACTGCCTACTGGACTGTACAGTCATATTTAGACACATCATGCAACTGCTGTAGCAAGAACGCGGAGGCTAGACTAAAACGATTGAGGCTGTTAGTGCAATGTCTATCCAACTGAGTATGTACAGTGGTACCTAGGATCACAAACTTAATTTGTTCCGCGATTTGGTCGTGAACCGAATCAAACTGTGATCAGACCGCAATCTCGACTAGAGGAAGCCAAGACCATGTGCCAGAGCAGGGAAAATGGCTGCGGTTGAGTTTGTCACTCGAAGCGGAGTTCGCGAACGGAAGCAACATTTTGCGGAACTTCCTGTTCGCGAACAGAAGCGTTCATGAACCGAGGTACCGCTGTATTTTTTTTTTACATTTAATTGGGCTTTAAAGAGAAACTGTCATCTGTCCATTCAGGGCAAAGTGCCAGTGCCTCCTAATAGTCCACCTTCCCCAGCCCCAGCAAGGTACTGTATACTAACCTGTGCACGCTCCCTCCCCGCTACAGGAGCCCACCACTTAGTAAGCTCTACTGTTGGAGCTTTCCTGGCTTTGGATGAAATCACTGACCCACCCACAAGAAAAGTTTTGGGCCTAGTGGTTGGCAAGCCACGTTCAATCAATCAGAGCAATGGAACCGGAAGTTGACTAGAGAACATGGAAAAGGTACATACACCTGGCTGGGGATCGATCACGAGGAATAGGGCAAAATAACAGTGGTTTTCAGTGTGTTAAAGACTTGTATACATTTAAAGCTAAACTAGCCTCTCTCTTTAGAAGAGAGCGTTTTTAAAGTCATGAATAACTAAACTGCATCAAAGCTAAGATTGTAGACAATATCCATCTGAGGCTAGGTTCACACCTAGGCGATTTATCGCACCGACAAAATCGTCTGTCGCACAAAAAGGTGCTGGAGCTATTTTCAGGCGGTTGTCACGCAGTTTGGGTCCCATAGACATCTATGCGTTGATAATGGCACGGTTTTCAAAGAACAGTCGCACAAACGAAAACGCGCATCACCAGCTCAATCGCCTAGGTGTGAACCTAGCCTGAATCATGGACAAATAGATCATGGCAACCTACTGCCAACAGTGCCTATGGAAACCTTGAAACAAAAGGTAAACTGTTTTTGTGATTAAAAGCTGTCTGAACATGCCGGAAATTGCAATGTCTATGACAAGCATTCTGTTACCCACAAGGGAGGGCTCTCTTGCTCTTTGACTGGTTTCACTCAGACAAGACTAAAATGGACCTTATTTTGGAACAAGATTGCCTCCCAATTTCCCTCATCTCCCTTCTTTGACTAGAACTGGCTCATTGCCTTCCAGTTGAATACTTACTCTATTTAACCAGATCTTTGCTCCACCAATGGGATTCCATGCTCAAATTTAGAGAATTATCTACCAGACCATGTCCGCTTAGTCCCAAATAAAATAACCCTAACCTTTCCCCCGGCATACCGTCCTCCATGTTGGCCGTGGGCCAGATACTGGTTTTCTTATTCTAAATTCAGAGTCATTCTAAATATAAAACCTCAAGCTCACACTACCCTGAGGAACTGGTACCTAGCTCAGCCCCTGCACATCTCGGTTAGGTCTCTATCCAGAGGGATTACCTTAAACCGTAATGGTGGAAATCACTGTCTCAGAGAGACCCCTCTCACTAAGCACTTGCGCTTCAATAGCTATGTCATTAACCCTTTCCCTTCCAGTGCCGTATCAATGGCTTTGGGCCCCTGTAAACAGACTCCCAGATCGCTTCCACGGGCTGGTAAAGTGCCCCCCTTGCATCACTTCTGGCTCCTCATCTGTCATTCCCCGGGTAGAGAATGGCGGGAAGAAACTATTGAAGCACGATCTGCAAGACGCGTTTATAAGGTGAAATTTCATTGGCTACTTCAATGGTCGTTTCAATGGACAAAGAACAGTTGCATCCAAACACAAGTGTGTAAACGCAATTAATTTTAAGCATCTAGAAACATAAACAATGCATCTAGCCTGACAGATTTTGCAGACAGATCATGGCTTCTTACCTATATTGCAGGTGCATTATGATAGTCCTATGGCTTTGTTGATTTAATTGCAGCCTTTTATCTATCTTCATTCACTTTGAGCTGGCCGGTTTGCCCATTCTGGTTTCTACATTTTGCACCACACTTCGCCACTTACGCCCTGACTCATCCTCAGGTCTTGACTGGCGACAGGCCCTTACCTTTGTGTTTCCCTTAACTACAGTGCTTGCGTGCTACTTCCCTGATTCGCATAGCCTCATTTCTTTCTCTTCCTTTTATGCCCTTTGTCCTTCCTGTGCTTCCTTCTTAATTACCCTTCTCTCTTGAAGTCTGTTTCTCCTCTCCCTTCTTGGTATTTGCTGAT